TTTTATAGCTTGATTAAGTCTGAAGTTTGTTTTTTTGTAATTTTTCAACTTTTTATCTTTATTTGATTTACTAATCAGCGCAGCAATTTCATGTCCATTATGGTAATTAATATAATATCTATATTATATTGAAAGTATATAAAGGGAAAAAAGTTGCTTGTTGACAAGATTTTACTGCCTTTTTCGTTTTTACGGGCATATTTTTTCTTTGTTGTATACATGTATGTTGATTATCTTTGTTAAACAGCTAAATAAATTAAATATAAAAATAAAAAAAAAATAAAAAGTAGTAGTAGTAGTAGTAGTAGTAGTAGTAGTAGTAGTAGTTGTAGTAGTAGTAGTAGTAGTAGTAGTAGTAGTAGTAGTAGTAGTAGTAGTAGCAGTAGTAGTAGTAGTAGTAGTAGTAGTAGTAGTAGTAGTAGTAGTAGTAGTAGTAGTAGTAGTAGTAGTAGTAGTAGTAGTAGCAATGCTTATTTGTGCGTGATTGCACGAAACCCGCAACATCTAATAAACCCAAGAATGAGTCTCTCATCACTTTTTTATGAGAAAATTTTATATGAAATTTGGAACGAAAGCAAATATCTAACATTCGTAAATCAAATTATGTAATGTTTAAACATACTTAAACATACATCAAGTTTTACGGTTCGACTTTCACTTGAAAAGTGCATTGCGTCAACATCTCCTTTAATTTGATCTATAGTATTTATTTCCGTTAAAAAAAATAGTACATAGTTTAAAAAATTTCGTTAGTCAACGTGCCAGCGTGGCAGAGTGGTTAGCGTGCAGAGCTTTTAAATAAAAAACCCATGGTACGAGTCCTACTACTGCCGACGTTATTTTTTTTAGTTCTTTTGGATTTTTTAAAATAAAAACTACTTATGAAGTTTTATAGACATCACATATAACGATACACTTTAACAAATGAAAAGATTTTCAAATAAGCTAAAAATTCTTAAAACATCAAAAATCGTGGAAGGAAGGGGGGATTTGTTGTCTATGTGTAATGATTGAGATACATATATTTTTTTTACAACTAAGTTGAGATTGTGCAAGGAAAATGAGTATACAACATGTTAATAAATAGAGTATAAAATCTATAAAACTATAAAGTTGTTTTGTTTTGCATTTTTAGTAACAAAAATTTAAAAAAATAGCAAGCTGATGATTTTAACTTGCCCCTCGGCGCCCTTAACTTTTTTGAAAATATAATGCACAAGACATTGTAGATGAGCACGCGGTAAGTATTTGAATTTCTTATTTAACTTTCATGTACCTCTGAATTTTCTTTGGTTCTCTCTGTTATCATTATCATAAATGTTATAATTATTGAATATTAAACACAAATAAATATAAATATAAATATAAAATATAAATATAAATAAATACTTTCATTTATAAATAGTATGTATATTTTGTAATTTTTTAATCTGTTTTTAAAGTTACTAGAGTTTTGCTTTTTAATGTTTTAGTTAATAAAACACGTTCTGTTTTTTAGGTTATGTTTTGAAATTGTCTCGACAAGCTGTTAATTTTATATAGCCGGAAGATGACTTTGTTTTAGAAATAAGTAAGTTGTTATTTATTTTTTATCGTTTTTGTTAGATATTCGATCATGGTTTATATGAAATCTAATTATTTTTTATAGTATTTTTGTCTGGTGGTGATGTTTAGGTAAGATTTAATAAAGTTAAATTTACTTTTAAAGAATCTTTCCGATTTACTTCTTAAAACATTTACCTTTGCTTTTTTTTCTGTTTTCTAAGTCTAAAAAGTTGAGTGGGCAGTGGAAAATACTTAACTGCATCTACAAAGAAAAGAGGTATTTGAATGTTTATAGTTTAATATGTATATTTTTATGGATCTATTTAACAAATTATGTTTTTAAAATTGTTAAAAAGTTTGTTTTATTTTGTGTTTGTTTTTATAATTGTTTTTACCTTTATCATCATATGATGCTAGATTTATTTGTCATATTTAATTGCAAATATTATGTATTAAAAACATTTTAAATTTAGTTGTTATTCAATTTCTTTAGTTCTTCTTTAGGGCTCTACAAACTATCATGTTTACTTTGTATACTGTTAAAATCTTGTTTTAACTTTATAAATTTTAATTACTTTAAATTTACTATGTTGATCATAAGCTAGTAGTTTAAAAAAAAAATTAGTTTGACGCAATCAAGGTAAAAATAGTTTTATTTTTGGGTCAAATTACAAAATTGTTTGCAGCAATAGCTATTATTTTTTTTGTTATTTTGTGTAATAACTTCGTCTTTACAATTGTCATTACAGTAAATGTCTTTATAATAAGTGTCTTTATAGCTTTATAGTTTTACAATAAATGTATTAATAATACATGTCTGTATAATAAATGCTCTACAACAAATTACAGCTTTACAATAAATGTATTTAAAATGTCTTTAAAGTAAAATAAATGTTTTTATAGTTTTAGCTTTGTCTTTACTATTGTCTTTACAATAATCTTTAAATTAATCTTT